TTGAAAATAATCCCTTCAAGAAGTTCTGCTAGAGACGGCGTTTTGTGCACGCCCCGATAGTTATTAACATCGGACCGAGATTCTGACTTGCAAACGGGAATGATAATTGACGTTTTCCATGTTCAGGAAAGAATCCTTTTGAAATATAAACCGAGAATAGATGACTGAGCAATATGGGAAAGTCGGACGCTTGTTTAATAATCGAATTCGGAATCCCGTCCGTTCCTGAGCAGTGGGAGTATTTCAAACGGCTTATGTGTTTCTTATTGAGATCTAAGGAGACATCAAGTGTCCTATCTGAAAGTGATCGAAAGAAAGGAACCGGATCGGACTCGGTAGCAAGGTGTTTTGCAAAGAAAGCACTAAACAACTCCGCCTTGTCAGTGTCATCGGTGAGGAAGACTTTGTTATCATTTAGCATGGGTGGAAGTTCATGACCACGCTTAGAGTAGGACCGATGACGGAAGATGCTAGCGATGGATTTGCCAGGGTTCGAGTCACTGAGGGCAAGTGATTCTTTTGCCTGTCGCGCGCTTGGCGCATCCTTGAGGCCATCTCAAAAATCTCTGTGATTCTAAGATGAACTGATAAGGAACTAGTGGATGGGTCACGCAGTTGTCGCATAAACTATTTTAGTCTGTTCTGAAGAAAATGAGGAACAAGGGAATCTGAAGAATTAGGCTTGAGATATTTACGCGGCACAAACTCTAGAATGTCCTTGGAAACATTGGACATGACATCACGAAGAATGGTTTCATCGCTACAAGTGAGGAAGCCACACCAATCCAAGGATCTCATATAGTTATTTATTAAGTCGCTATCTACGCAGTCGTAGCTCATGAAAGTCTGAACGGCGCTTGTCTTTTTTGAAAAGGCAAGCGGTAGGCAACAATGAATTAATACGTGGTCACTGTCAAAGAGGTCCTTTTTTAAAGCAACAGAAAGAGGAGCAATGTCATTTGTAAAGATTAGATCTAAAATGTAATTATCTCTTGTTGGAGAGCGCACCAGTTGGGACCAATTAGAAAAATTGACAATGTCTTGAAAGGGCTGGAATCTAGGTGGGCAGCTATTGGAAACCCAGTCAATTTCAGGAAGGTTAAAATCCCCAGTGATTATTTTAACATCGAAAGCAGCTTCCGAAATTAATTTAAAGATTTCACAGAGTTGAGAATCATCACTGGCTAAAGAATTTGGGGGATTGTAGATACAGCCAATAATTGCCTTTCTTTGTGGCGAGAGAATAACAGATGCAAAGCAGAAGTTTCCCGTGAATGAGGAAACATCCAGGTAATAGGGAGAGTGCTTTAGGTAGGATTTAAGATAAAGAAGACAACCACCCCCACGCCTAGTCGTGCGGTCTTGGCGGTAAAAATCGAAGTCATCTATGAGAAGGGCAGAGTCAGGAATTGGAGAATGTGTCCAAGATTCTGTTTCACATATCATATCAGGCGTCATTTCCAGAGCAATGGCTCTGATTTGGGCCATCTTGTTTATAACAGACCTGGCATTCAGTAATACAATAGCTAATGTGTTTCGAACGGCAATGCTTTTTTCAACGGTATTTAAAATAGTTTGGAGGCGGATATGTAAGCTGGGAATTAATGACAGTTGGAGAATAAGTACCAGTTAATTTGACGTATGGGGAGTCAGCAAGAGAAGGCTGAGTATGAGACCTAAAGGAGGTGGGGATATAGTTTTCAAACATTGGAATGCTAGGGGAGTTAGGACATGGATAGACTTGTTAGTAGTTAAATAATGGAGGAAGGGGAGGAGGAGGAGGGAGGTTAGAAGGAAAGTAGGGGCTAATGGGTGAGGGTAGGCCACTAAAAGAATGAAATAGTGGGAAAGCAGGTCTAGATTGGAAGTCAAAGGAGATAGGTTGACGTACCTGAGAGCAATTGGCCTTAAGTGGTGGGAAGCCAGAACTAGGTTGGGGCATAAATGATTTAGGGCAATTCAAGTATGAATTATTTGCTGGATATATAGTAGGGCTTTGATAAGTAACCGGTACGCAGGACAGAGAATTATTAGAGGATATAATTGGAGATGCGGGATTTTTAGACGTGCTGGGCTGAACAGAATTGTTAGATCTAAGAGAAGGCGTCGTACCTCCAAATGGAACTGTAATACCTTTCTTTTGGGTCGGAGTCTGATTCAATTTTTGAGTCTCACCGTTCTGACGCCAAGCCACTGGTGACTTAGCTGTAGACCTTACAGCACCCAGTTGGACCATAGAATTTATCGGTCTACCTGATGTAGACGGATTTTCATGTGTCTCAGTGGGACTATCGGGAGGATACGAAACGAAAAATGGGGCTGCTGCTGCTGCTGCTGCAAGTTTAGGGACAGGCAAATGCGTCAAGTGGTTCGAGTGAGATGGAGATGTCGGAGAAAGAGGAAGGAGTCAGATGTCGCAGGAGTAGGAGAAGCTGAATCCTTACGGCCACTTGTATTATGACCGAGTTGGGGAGCATTAGACTGAGAAGCTGAATCCTTACGGCCACTTGTATTATGACCGAGTTGGAGAGCATTAGACTGAGAAGCAGTAGGTTTACGTGAGAATAGAGACCCGATTCTACGCTCTATAGGAGTAAGATCATGACAGAGGAAAAATTTTGCCTTCTCTAGGTACGCAGTGACACGCTCTCGATGGGTAAAGATTGTGTCAACCTCGATTGATGAAAACAATTTGACTAAGATGGGTGGATTTGTACTACGGGAGGACAAGCGTTTGGCATCCGCTATTTTATAGTTGAAACCACATGAATACAGGAAACTGGTCGCAACATCAATTGGCCGAGCAGATCGAGGAACATTTTTTAGCAGGAAGTTGTAAGAACGCTTCTGTCTATCACTAGATTCACTGGCGATCAGGTGAACAAGTGAGTCGAGACGCCTACATTCTTCAGAGGGAATATCGGAGATGTTCCCGTCGAATAAATGTCCAAGAATTGTCAGCAAAGAGCCAAACTTTAGTATTAATTCATTGCAGTGGTCAAGTGCAGACACATTAAGCTGCCGACCAATTACAACGAGTGACGACTGACTAGTAATATCATCTGATTTAGATTTAGGTAAAGCTTCTGACATACGTTTAGTTAGGCCATGTTTACTTAGAAGAGACGAGAGCTTACGTCGACCAGTGACTTTTGGTCTCATCTTGTCTCGAGGAAATTTATGATTAAGAAAACTTCTTGCGGACAAGTTGACTGAATTTCAGCTAGGGGCTAACGATGTAAAAATAAATTACAACAGTTAGAGAGAAATCGGATGCACAAAATGAGAATCGCAAAGTGCGACTAGTGAACAGCGGGCATAGACTAGCAAAACTCGAAAGGAGATGACAGCGGGCAGTTCTTAGAGAAAAGGCCTGTATTTAAGGAAATTCAACCAAAAAACAGGTACTAAAATCGTTAGATCTCACAGAAAAACCACTAAAAATAATATCCTCCACTTATCTTCAAATTTAAAACTAATGGGAATAAAGTCTGCTTCTTCAGTGAAAACGGATTGGCTATATTGAGAAAAATGTTCAGTTTATTTTTATTGTCCGATATCGCAAAACCGTCAACATTCCTCATGACAGGAATGGGAATCCTGTTACGTGTGCACTTCCGCAAATAGCCGTAGAGCAATTGCGGTTTTTAAACGGTTCGGTGAAGCAAATTCCTCTCAAAATCCCGTCGCCTCTTGAAAATCAAGCTATTCACTTTATTTCTTTGAAGTTTATATTCTGTTAATACTGCAATCTTGTTGTTTTCCGAAATGTCTTCCACAGTCTTCCTTTCTTATTGATCTCCTTTTTTTGTTCTCGTGTTAGCCACTGAGGGCGGTTTGATGTCCTAGGTTTGGATACGGGATAGTGGCTCTTCATTAGATGCAATAACCAACCCTTAAATAAATACCAGTCCTCGTTAACGTTTCCGTAGTAGAGATCATCCCAGTCTATTTGTGATGCCTCAGCTCTCATTTGGCAAAAGTCTCCTTTCCATATGTTCGGTCTCGTGTCCTCTTTTCTATACGGTTCAGAATACAGCTCGTACTCCCATAAACGTACTGCATGATCACTTCGACCGAGCGTGGATAGGTAGTACACCTCGTCTATACTGTCAGGATCTTTTGTGAAGACGAGGTGCAGACAACTAGCCTGTTGCAATCCACGTGCTTTAGTTGGAGATAGGACACGTTGCGTAAGAAGAGCCTCTGGGGTTGCCTTTAGTAGGTGGTTATCGAAGGCATTCTTCGAGCACTGCGAATACATATCGCTCCATTGAATGCAGGGTGCATTAAAATCCCCCATGAAAACAACGTCTGGTCGACTAACTATGTCTTTTCTGCTTTCCAGTAGACAAGTGTCTGAGTCGGGATCCACCTGAAGGGGCCGGTAGATAGTTACGACTTCGAGGAACTGAGACCCCCGTGCCTTTAAAGTCAGCCAAATGGCCTCTGTATCGTTAGAAATTGTGTCCGTCCTCTCACACACTCTTAAGTTGGACTTTACATACCTGGCAACTCCTCCACCCTGGCGGCCCCTCCTGTCTCTTCTAAACAATTGGCATCCTGTTAGTGCTACCTCGCAATCACCCGCGTTCTCCGACAGCCACGCTTCTGTTATTGCAATAACATCAGGAGGAGTATCGGCTACCTGTATTCTCAGTTCATTGAGTTTGGAAAACTGACTCTGACCATTGGTATAAAAGAATTTAAGTTTGCAACATTCGACAGCACTTCGTTCGGTTTGTCTCGTGCTTGACAATATTATGTTTCTGCCGCCATCATGATGACTGGCTGGTTCCAAAGCAATACCGCATTCCTCTGTATCGCTCGTCCTCTGAATAAAGCCAAGCTGCTCTCTCCCGCTGCAATTCTTCTCTTCAGTTCCGTTAATAATTCGCGGCGTTTCAGACGTTCTGCTAGAGAATAGTCCGGTTAAAAAAAACTTCCTCGTGAGAGTTTCAGGGGCAGCTTTTTCTATATAGAAGTGAGCTAGCCTCCTCTTAACTGCCCAAAACGATTTTCGGAGGTCGTGGCCGCACAGTTTCCGGTTGATCGCTCACCTCCTTTCCGATCCTGAAGGCTGCGTGAATAGTTACCCTTTCATTCGAATTAAGCATTTTGTTCAGAAGGTGTTGAAGCATATCGGGGTCAGCGGAAATCATCTCCTTCGGGGTCGGAACATTCAACTCCGATAGGCCCTGAACGACTTCGCAGTGCTGACGATCCTGGGGTTCATTTGTTCTGTTTCCGGCGGCCTTGTCCGCCGAAGGTCTCAGGAGATCCATCGGAGTCGTCTGGGGTTTTATAATCCTGTTGCGGTGCTTGCCCATCCCATCGAGCCACGATCCTGTTTCCTCACTTCCAACTGAGGGTACTTCTGTACACGTGGAATGGCTGAGAGAACTTGACGGTCCGCTTCGGTTGTCTTCCGTAGAAACAGGAGACTCTGTTTCTATTTGCCCATCGTCATGAGTATCGACGTCCTTGCACTGAGGTTTTCCACAAACCCTATTATTTGGCTGTTTTGGAGTTTTGCTCTTCCCCTTTGTCTTGCTGACTCTAGCGCTGATAACCGCGTTTTGCCTACCATCGTTCGCTTGCACGAGTTCCTTTAAAGCAGCCAGCTCTTTTTAAAGTTTTTGGAATTTCAGAAGAATATAGGAACACCCAGTGCACGACTTGTCCTCGTAACTAACCGATTTTGCTGTGGTTACGCTTTAAGCGCGCTTTGAGGGTCCCTGGTTGCGACTGTTAAGAGAGCGGGCGCTAATTCTCGGCGGCTAGGCCATATCAATAGACTTTCCTTAATGCAGAATGCCGGTCCTCGTCGTGGAACTACCAAAAAAATTGCTCTGTCTCCACGAGTTTCGTGTGTTCGTAAGCTTTTATTCGCTTTCGAGATTCAAACTGGTAAGTACGACTGTATACGATGGAGTATGGCAAATATTCGAAACCAAATGATCGAAAACACGCCTACTTTTAAAAAAGTCGACGTAGAGGAAAAATATGAACGGTATGAAATGTATGAAGGAGCGACTGAGCCGTTTTGAGAATATCGAAGGCCCTGAATAATTCCCGATCATCCTGGGTGTCAAAGATTTTGTTTTACTAGGCCCATATCTGCGCGCGAATCGACTCTGTAGCCCGTTGGATTTTGATGAAAAGCGAATTCTGCTTAGAGACAGAATTCTGACAAATTTCCAAACGAGAAAATATTTCCAGAGACGCAGGAAGACATTTGGTGCGTACAGTTGCAGCGGCAACCTCAGAGACGGGTACTCTGAAGTGGTATCTACGTCAAAATAGTCCCAGTTAAATAAATAAAAAAATAAATAAATTTTTATTTAATGCCAGTATACAGGCAGTGTCAAGGGAAGCGATTAAACACAAATCCGACCAGCAGTGAAAAAAAACTCCTGAGCATAAGGGATAAAAATATAGTTGATGGTGGTTTTTGTGGTTTGGAGGGCTCAGCATAAAAAACTGCCGGCGATGGGAGAATATCGACCGTCAAAAAGGGGGGAAGGGGGGTTGCACAGTATCGGAGATTATCAGACGTCAATTGCTTCCATGAAGTTGGGGATAGTCAAAGTAGAGGCGTTGAGGAACAACTGGTGAGCCCGGCCATAGTGTTCAGAGACCACACACGCCATCGCCACGGTACAGTCGATCAGTAGATTCAGTAACCAAAATTTGTGGGAGCTTTTCTGAATGCAAAAATCGAGTATAAGTTCTCTTAAATAAAGGATAATTTTGCAGAGTTTTCGCACTCATAGGTAGTTTATTCAAAATAGCAATTGCATTTACAGAAAATAACCGACGACATTTAACAGTACGTGCCAGAGGCAGAAATAAGAAGACCTCACGGTGACTGTTACGTCGTGGGTGGATATGATATCTTAAAGAGGTGAATGGGTTAAATGTGTGATTATATAAGAGTTTAAATAGCAAAAATAGTCCCTTTATTAATCTACGGAACCATAAAGGATGGAGGCCTGAAAGACGGCAACGTTCTTGGTAAGACAAATGTCGGTGTGTTGGGGTTAAAATTCTCTTGGTAAAAAGTGTTGAACGGATTCTATTTTCTTCACCTCAGAAGCACGCGTGAGGCTAAATGAAAGCGAACAGTATTTCAAGCCAGCTCTAACGTACATGTTGAAAAGGCGCATTCTGATATCCCTAGTTTTAAAATTTCGGAGGATAAACCCGGTCGTTCTGCGTGCTTTGGAGACTATCAGGGAACAGTGCTCCGAGAGATTGAGTTTGATACGCCCAAATCCCTTACAACCCCTGGCACATTTATTGCGTGACCTTCCATACTTAGTTGAGGATGGCGGTCGTCGCCAACCACCATGACTTAGCACTTATGCCAAGAAAGAGAAAGGCACCATGTGCGTCACTACTGGGCGAAAGCCTGTAGCTCGCTCTTAAGGAGCTCGAGCACGATGTCATTATCTGCCAGCTTATATCAATATGCAACTATAAGATCATCGGCATACGTGAAAGGCTTACCATTCTGAAATAAATCGGGTACATCATTAACGAAAAGGCAAAATAAAAGCGGGCCGTGTACACTACCCTGATTGACTCCACTCCTCACACGTGTGGGGTTGGAGATAGCATTGGAAATCTTAACTCGTTGTGTGCGAGTGCCCAAATAAGAGGATATAAACTTCAAAAGTTTGCCACCTATTCCGAAAAGGGACAATTTCAAGCGGAGAAGAGCATGGTCAGCACGGTCAAAAGCCTTAGTGAAATCGAAATATACTGTGTAAAGAGCAAAACCATTGTCCCTAGATTGGAGAACATAGTCAAAGAAAGAGAGTTGACAGGTGTCACAAGATCGAGCTTTGAGGAATCCATGCTGAGCAGCACTCAGTAAGTTGTTCGCTGTTAAGTGACACATCATCTTATCCTTGATCAATGTCTCTAAGATCTTCGAAACTGCGGGGAGGGTGTTTATTGGCCGAAAGTCATCAAATGATGTAGATCTGCCGTGCTTAGGAATGGGCAAAATGTGTGATTCCTTCCACAAGGTAGGGTACGTTTCACTTTCAAGAGCAAGATTAAATATCTTGCATAAGAGGGATGGAAAGATCGTGTTTGCATCGGCTTTTAAAATGCTTACTGGGACACCATCAGGGCCTGGACTATAAGATTGACAAAAACGGCGAAACACAGCAGTCACATCCAACAGAGTGAAAGTTATAGTTTCTAGAACTGCCCCGGTCAATGATTGGATGGTCGGAAGCGGAGTGGTCGAGTCTTCAATAAACGTTTTGGACAGGAAATCATTGAAGCTATCTGCGGTTAACTGGGCATCAACTATGTGATTTCCGAGAGCGCCTCGGAGGATGGGATGCTGTGTCTATCAGTGAGTTCGTATTTTTCTAGAGAAAAGTTTCGAGACACTTAACGAATGCTTTTCGGTAAAGTGGAAGTTGAAACAACTGTGTCATGGTCTGAGCCCCCGAGTGGGCCTAGGGATGACACTGACGATGACAAGCAGCCTCTACAGAAAATTAAGTCAAGTATACTTTGGCCTCGGGTGGGAAAATCGACAACCTGAGTCCACATCCCGACATCCACAGCCTCAAGAAAGTCATCGAAACTACTGGGGACTGATGGCGGAGACCAGCGGACTTCAGGGAGATTAAAGTCACCGGCAACCAGTTGATACTTAAAGCTTAATTCGGCCGCAGCATGAAATGCCTGTGAGAGTAAACGATCAAAATTTTCATTGGCGTTGGGAGGGCGATAGACGCAGCCCATGAGTAAGGAGAACTTATTTTTTAGTGCAACCTGGAGCCAGCAGCTGCCTTCTACTGCGGAAAAATTGCGTGAGGCCCAACGGCCAACATGTAAGTGTTTGCTTAACGTAGACGCAGCTGCATCCACCACGGCTATCTTGGCAATCATTTCGAATGCAATTGTAGCCTAGAAGAGAGAGTTCGGAGTCAGCTACTGAGGCTGATGCCCACGTCTCAGTTACTAAAACAATATCAGGACAATGGACTAACACCGGAGTCTGAAGCAAAGGCATCTTATTAAGCAAGGATCTGGCATTTAAAACAACAAGTTTGAAGGGAAAGGCTGTTAGTTTTTGAGGGAGGTGGGCTACATCGTCCAGTTCTGCGTCGCCCACGGAGCAAACGTTCCGGATGCAACCATCCGGTTCTGCAAAAAATTTTGTGGCATCAAAAAATTCTGACGTGGATAAAATGGGGTAGGACTAGGGGGAGGGAATGACGGGCAGGTAAACTGGTAACTATTGTTAGCTTACTTATTTTCAGCTGGAAATCCGCGGGGCAGATACTGCAACGTAATTTCGCCGGGGAGGATACTGAGGATCGGATGAATTAACTGATTCAGTATGGACATTAACATGAGGAATAAATTGGTAAAACGGCCGTGGAGGAAACAAGTTATGGGATGGGGGACGCATTGTTTCCATTGGAACAAGAGGTCTATTAAACGGTGGGAAAATCGGCATATTCGGCCTAACTGCCTTGATATGAGGGCTGGGAGGCAGTTGCGAACACGCTACGTTTTGAGTCGGGGTATTTGAGGCACTGTTAGCCGATTGTGGAGAAAAAGATTTTATAATGGTACTGGATTTATTGGGTGTCCGAGTGGCTGTGACAGCAACTGGATTTGCCTTTGACTTTGACACATGCGTAGGCTTACTAGTGGTTGCTGGGGGAGTCGATGGAGGCGTGTTTATACCAGGCGTGATGGTGTGCTTAAAGAGGTCTGCATTTACAGTAGTCGAACTCCTTACGGAATAGACTATGCCGTGACCTGCAGATGCCGCAGGTGGTGTTATAGAGGACATATTCAGACTGACAGTAGGTGTCATTATCTTGTTGTGGGATTTTGCCGATTTTAGTTTATTCAGTCTTCGCTGCAGGGGTGTGAGGTCTGGCGAAACGGAGCAGCGCCATTTACGGCAGAAGTCTCTAGTCATCTCCCTACTCGACAAGAAAAAAACGACTTCTATCATGGAGAAAAGTGTAACTAGTATCGGCGCATTACGGCTAAGCGAGCGAAGTCGCTTAGCTTGTGCGACACTAACACTCAAGCCACAACTTTGTAGGAACAAATGCGCTCCCTCCATAGCAAATAAGTGGCTTGGAATTTTTCGCAGTACGAAATTATGCTTGCGTTTAATTCGTTCCTCAGTTTCTGAACTTATTACCCCAATAAGTTTAAAAGCTTGTTCAAGCACTTTTTCAGAAGTGCTGTTTATGTCTCCATAAATCACCTGATCGATTATTTGGCCGGCTGATGGCCTGCTACGACTAGCAGAGGCGTATTTTTGGACGACTGA